CCCCATCCCTGCCCCATTCGAGGTGGATCCCCATGGAGATTAGTGAAATGGAAAAAATTACCACCCCTATTGGAGAATGCAAATAAGGATTCACCTATGTTTACCCCGCTCACACAATCTTTAACGATCAAAGGAAGGAGGGCCTGAAGACCCATGTCAAGATAGTGATATAGTGATATTCCCAAGCAATGAATAGGTGGTTAGGAGAGATCTCTAATCTGGTTTCACTAGAGTTCCTACTCAACACTAATACAAATGCTTGTTAAAAGATGGCTGTGGTGGTTACAATCGAAGAAGAATATCCACAATCTGAAGGGAAAAAACCAGATCTTGTGAAGTTACAAAATTTTAATACTATGATCCAAAAACGTTTTGATTCTAGGCTTGCTGCTGTTATGAAACAAAATAGTGCGAAAACTTGACCTATCCTGATGGGTTCGGAAACTCAAAATGTAGAGACTAAGGCTCCCTCCAGTGAAATAAATTCTAGGATCGAAGATGAATCAGACGAGTGAGGTAAAGCATAACAGTCTATTATCACAGTTTCATTGCTATTCAGAGGAAGAAGAGGGGTCGCAAATCCAAAAAGGAACAATATCTAAATAAGCCCCTACCTCTAATGCCTAAATCCTCAAGGCAAAATAATGGCTATCACCCACTATATTATACATGAATTTATATTTTCTTGTATATTTTCAAGGCAAAATATTTTCTTGTAGTGGTTCTTTGAGGGGTAAGGTCTATGTCCCCTCCTCAACTAGACCTTTCTTAGCAAGCACATGGGCTGCAGTATTACAAGATCTATTTACATAACCAAAAGAGATAGCTAAATCATCAGTTAGAAGCTTAATATCTAAACAAGGAAAGTTTGCATCTGAAACTAAATCCATGTTTCCAGTTCTAAGCGCCTGCACCAAAATTTGACAGTCCGACTCCACTTCAATATTTTCCTCCTTGTACATGCTCAAAATCTCCAGAATGTTGAGGATCGCCATTGCTTCAGCTTGAATGGGAGATGACGCAGAAGATTTGCCAAAAACTACAGCTATTACTGCACCAATCTCATTCCTTAGAACCACTCCAATACCTGACCTGCTAGGGCACACAAAACTCCCATCCACGTTCAGTTTTAGCCTCCCTGAAATTGGCGCTTTTCAAAAAGAGAGAATTTGCGCATTCGAGTTTCTTTGTTTAGGTGAAGAACCTTGCAATCCTTTTCGAGAAGTCATCACTCTCTCCCTCCACATCTTGTAAACATTAGCAAGAGTAATTCTAGGCGATGGGTCAATCTTTTCAAAGATTTTGCTATTCCTAGACTTCCAAATATTCCATAATAGCAGAAAAGAGAGAAATTAAATCATCTTTCCTATCTCTGTTTGTTAGGCAATTCTCTAACCAGTTGGAAATCCAGCTATTAAAGGATGGATATCTTCTATCCATTTCTCATATCCAAAAGGCATAGGTGAGAGACAAACCATGCAGCTTTTGCATGATCACATTCCAAAAGGCAATGTATAATAGTTTCAACTTGTTGGTTGCAAATTGGACATAAATTGTCATTTGTGAGATTTCTTTTCAAGAGATTTTCTCGCACAGCTAGAGCATTTTGGGAACATTTTCAAATAAAATTTTTAATTTTTGGATTAATTTTTGACTTCCATATTTCAGACCACTGCTTCTTACTTAGAAGGTCCAAAGCCCCATTAGTTGCAGTCCTGTTAATAGAAGTTAAGATAGTACCCCGATTTAATTGTATAAAAACCTTTTGGGTTTAAAGTCCACTTCAACTTATCCTCCCATTCTCCCCTGGCTAGATTTATGCTCAAAATGTTTTTTGCAATTTCCTCCCTAAAATTCTCCTTCACTATTATATTCCACCCTCTTCCCTCCTCTGTCATGAGATCTTTTACCCATACCAGACCTAGATTGTTAGCTCTGGGTCTATGATTTTAAAGGACTCAATCTGAGGTAGTCATGGATCATCCCATATCCTTACTCTTGTACCAGCATTTACTGCCCAACAAATTTTTCTCTTTGTTGGGCAAATTGTCAACCCCATGAACCCCTCTTAGGCAAATTGTCAGTCAAAAAATTTTTCTCTTTGATGTATTTAGTTTTCGTAATTTTAGCCCGTAGATTGTCCTCTTCAACACATAGTTTCCAAGCTTATTTTGCTAGTAGAGCTAGGTTAAAACTATATGGATCCTTGAATCCCATCCCACTAGCACATATGTTTTGCTAATAACTTCCCAGCTAATCCAATGAGTTTTCCTCTACTCCTTCCCCCCACCACCACCAAAATCTAGTTTGAATTTTCTTAAGTTCATCACAGACAGTCTTTGGCAAGAGGAAGCAAGACATTGTATAATTAGGAATTGCACTGGTAACTGCTTTTAACAGGACTTCCTTTCCTGCTTGGGATAACATAGATTCATGTCATTTTGAAAACAATTTTTCCACTCTTTCAATTAAGAAATTAAAAAGAATTTTCTTTGATTTACCAATTCTTGTAGGAAGTCCTAAATATATGGATAGGGTTTCCACTCTCTTCATTTTTAAAAAATTTGCTAGGAACTTTTGTAATCTATGCTGCAGATTTTTATTGAACAAGGTCTCCTCATAAGATTTGAAAACATCCAGAATAATAAAAGTAGTTAGTGCCCGTCATCAATGTCTTCTCCCTCTCTCATGAAACCACCTCATCATGTCTGCCGACCATTTCATATTTCCTAGATCCTAATCATAAGAGGAGTCGTAACAGGGTAAGAAAACAGGGCCAACTATGTTCTCTACTCTCTCTCTCTATTCTCTCTCTATCTTTCTTGCAGTAGATTTCTGTGCGTGCATTGTCACTTCGGTGAAGCGGGGGTGGAATGGTTCAGGTATGTCTTTCCCACGAGCACTGTAAACTTCCAGTTGGTCTGTTTGGCTAAATTCTAAACTCTCACTACTCTCCCTCTCTCTTCTCTCTCTATTTTCGGAGGTCACCACGAAGCACTTAATCGCTTTGTGTGCATGTGTTGTGAATTCGGTGAAGCAGGGGAGGAAAGATTCAGGATTGTCTTTCATCTAGATTTTTCTCTATTTTTTTGTAATATTATATGAAAAATTACTTCTAATGGGACATACGAACTGAAACATCTTTATAGATGTAAATCGATTGATGTTTAGAGTTGATTTGCATCTACTGTGTTCACTCTTTCAAGCGAACACTGTAGATGTAAATTGGGCGAAGAAGATGAGCTTTTCACACGGATCCGGGTCCGGTATAAAATTCTACCTAGTCAATTTAACTAAAGTGACATGGCTTAACTTAAACGATCCGGATTCAATGTAGATATGAGACTAAACCGACCCATATCCGAACCGTTTTAATAAATAAATGTCGTTACTAATTACTATTTATTTAACTAAAAGTATTAATTAGCAGTATTTATACTGTTAATTATTAATTAGCAGTAATTAATTATCAGTATTAATAAGCAGTAATAATTGTTAATTATTTACTGTTATTAATTTATGAGTAATTTCTAAGAATTAACTTTAATAAAATTAATTACTTTTATTGAGCCATTTGAAATTACCAAAATATTAAATATCAAAAATTACCAAAAGTTATTATAAAATCCAATTTATCTACAACACAAATTGTTGATTAATATTTTTTATAATAATTGATATATTTTAATAATTATTCATAATTAATGTTATCAACTCTAATAATTGCTAATTATTTATTTTTATTAATTTATGAGTAACTTTTGGAAATTAAATTTACCAAAATTATTTACTTTTACTAGAAAGCTATTAGAAATTACCAAAAATTATCAAAAAATTACCCAAAAGTATATTACAAGTATTTCCAAAATAATGCTTTGTGAAATATAAAGTTTTTTAAGTTTTAGTTAATTTATTAAAAACATTGAAAGCTGAAAATTACTAAAGGTTATCAAAGAATCTACCATAAATAAATTATTAGTATTTTTAGAAATTATTAATGTACCACAAATTATATAGTAATTCTTACTTTTACTAGAATCTAATAACTTTGAAAAATTTACAAAAAAATATGCGTGAATTTTCAAAAATTATTAGAAATTATGAAAAATTATTGTAGTTTCTCTTATACTTATCTAATAATAAAAAATATAAATAAATTATGCTAAATTCCACTAATTTTAATTTTACTATACATTTTTAATAAATGCTATTATTAAATAATGTTAAAAAAATCCTATTAATATATTTAATAAGTCATTAGCTCTAATGAAAAATTTATAAGGAGGGCTAAGGGTTGTTTAATAATTTTAGAATTTTTAAGGGCATTTTGGTAAGCTTGGGGGTATTATGGTTAATTTGAGTCTACGGGTGTGAAAATTATGATTATAATCTAATGGTGGGTATTTTGGGAAAAAATGAAGGGTAGAGATGGATCTAAGTATACACAATAGTTTTGTGTATGCGGGCCAATGAAAATGGTTGAAATGAAATCTTTTTATATACAGGGGCAAATAAGGGTATTTTTTGATGAAATTTTATAGGTGGAATTTTTAGGTATTTTGAATCAATTGGTTAGGTCAGATTAGCCCAAATAGACCCAAATTAGGTAGATTTGAAGGGGAGTGATTCAATCAATATAGAGCTTTGAAACAAAATCTTGGTGTGATGAAGGGGAAAATGAGGGAATTTTTTGTTGAAATTTGGTAGGATAGTGTTTTTGAGCATTTTGGTTGATTGGTAGGGTCAGATTGGCCTAACTACACCCGGATCGGGTAAATCCGGAAAGGGGTTGATTCAGTCAATCATTTGAAATAAAATCTTGGTATGATGGAGGTATAAACAAAAGTATTTTGGACTAAATTCTTGAACCAAACATGGCCTATATGTCCCATAATCAGTGAATTAACGTGGCAAAAAGCCCAAACATTCAATCATTTAACTAATACAAGGTACTCTTGAACTCTGAATCTATATATATATATATGATAAGCAGTGGTTATATGGCCCCGGAATATATAAAGCATGGGCACTTCTCAGTAAAGTCTGATGTGTTTAGTTTTGGTGTCATACTTGTAGAAATTGTGAGTGGTGAAAGAAACAATTCTTTCCACCAATCGGAGCCCTATGAAGACCTCTTTCTTAAGCTATGTAAGTATGCATGCTAGAATGATTTATTTGTGTATATTACAATTATTATTTTTTATAGTTTTCAATACTCTAAATACAAACCAAATAATTAACTTAGATTTTGCTTTCAAATCTCTGCCTTGAAATTGTTGTAGGTATGGAGAAATTGGAACGAAGGGACGGCAATGGAGCTGGTAGATTCAACATTGAGAGAAGGTTGCTCTAGACAACAAGTGATGAGATGCATTCACATTGGATTACTATGTGTTCAAGAAAATGAAGCTGACAGACCCACCATGGCGTCCATTATGCTCATGTTGAATAGCTACTCAGTCACACTCTCAATACCTTCATCTCTTGCATTCTTCCTAAATAGTAGAAGAATGGGGTCAGAGGTGCCTTCTGGAGAGAATGATTCAAGAGCAACTGAATCAACAGCTTCTGCAAATGAAATGTCACTAAGCCAATTTGAGCCCCGATAATGTTGATTAATAATGGGTATTAACATTGGAAATTACATTAATTAATAAGATAAGTACATCCTAGACTCCGATTATGAGTTACCTGCAATAGAATCTGTTGATTAATAACTGTTGTAACTTAGTACTGGATTAGAAATCAATAAATATGGGGTTGTTTGATACAGTGGCATTGTGCTGCGTTTTGGCTTTTGGGTTGATCAATAGATTTGTGAGAAATATATGTTGTCACTCACAACTGTCATTTCAACTGGAATAATGTATATATGTCATTTATCATTATCATTCATGGTTGAAGGGTTTCACTATGATGCTGAAAAAACTTATAACCAATCAACGGCCATCATAATCATAAAAGTGGTAACAAAACAGGTGGGTTTCTAGAGATTTTAGGTACGAATAGCAATTTGTATTAATTAATTCAAAATATTTCAAGTAGAAAAGTCCCGTTTAGACAAATTTATATTTAGAGGTGTAAATTGGAATGTGCTGCTCACAGCCTGCATGACGACATGGCCCAATACGATTCATATATAATATTAATATATAAAATTTTATTATATTATTTCATTTTATTATTGCATATATAAACAATTATATACATCAAAATTCATATAAAATAAAAATTTAAGATTTTTTTTTAAATTTTCGTCTATTTTGTTAATTTATTTTAAATTTTTTTTTTCAATTTCTTTTAAAACATGGTTTGGCCTTATCCGGGCCCAACCTAATCCAAGGCTCAACCCACAGACTAACCTGACATGACACGGGTTCATATGAGCTTGAGCTGTGGGCCATGCCAGGCCGATCCACAAAGTATCCTAGAGGAGAGAAATACAACCCAGCTCAACCCATGGGCCAACATGACATGACCCACACTTTGCGCAAACTGCATGCATCCCATTTAAACCTCTATTTGTATTGATCAATTCAAAACACAACGTAATGAAATGCCACCTACCGAACACCTATAAAAATTTTTGATTGTTTGTTATGGCAGAACCCAATAAAAAACAAGAGAAGATGCCTATATCCCTATCGTCACATTTGGCATTATGGTGAGGGTATCCTTACCAGAATGTCAATATCGTCAGGCTAATATTTGGGAATAGGAAGATGAGTGAATCTCTCTAGCTACTTTGATGAGGGTATCCTTAGCTGAAGCCTGGAGGCAAACCGCAAACATCTTGGATCAGCCAAGTGGGGGGTATGAGGCCTAATTTGTGAATGATGAATGATCTTTCAAGGCTTAGGATCCACAATATATAGTGTATGTTATTCCGTATACGAGAACAACTGAACCACAAATCAGTTTCAATCATGCAATTGTAGGCCAGTTGCGTGTAACTCCATTTATTTGGACAGGGCGAAATGTTTATGTTAAAAACAAAAAGGCTTCAGCCATATTTGATTGATAGAAGCATTAAACCTATCCAATCGATATGCCTTCCATTCAAGTTTCTATCCCTAGCTTCTGCTTTGTATCAATGGACATGCGTCTGACAGCTTTAAACTGAAGAAAAATAAAGCGGACCAAGCTTGGGCCGGCATGTAATTAAGATGGGCCAGAATTAGAATAGCAGCACATTATAACTAAATACCCATGTCCGACCAGCCTATTGTGTCCAGTACTAATATGATATCGATAATCAGTTACAGTTTTACTCACTGATTGTATGCTGGTAAACCATCTCATCAGTATGCATTCTTGTAAAATTGGTGAAGAATGTTTTGACGGTAAATATTATATTTAATTTGGCATGTTGCAGGAGAAAAAATGTAGCAAATTAAGCTTTTATTTATTTATTTTTACATTAATAAACGAATCCATAAATGATTAGCATTATCCAACCCGAAAAAGTTGTGCCAGGTTGGCCCAAACCCAACTCGAAAAAGTTGGGTTGGGTTGGGTTAGGTTGATGCTCGGATTAGGGTTAGGGTTGAAATTCATGAACCCGATTTTACTTTGGGTTGGGTTAGGGTTGAACCCTTAGACAACCCAACTCTATAGTCCAGATCATATATAAATATATGTTATATGTAATATATAACATACATTGATTTGTGTAGATGCATGATATTTATATAGCCCCCACCACATAGTATCATGTATTTCTTTTAAGATAATCACTTCACTTARYMYTRATHRRAAAGRCTAAAACCTTAATAACATTATTTTATGTTTTTTGAAAATTTTATTCTTCATCTCTCTATTGTTTGCCACCCATAAAAGATCTATCGTAAGTCATAACTCATAATAAACTATAGTCATTTCTAAAACTTGTTTTTTTTTTTTTTGAATTTTGTACCAAAAGCTCAGTTTGGAAGGAGTACAAATACAAATATGTACAATGTAAATACATACAAAATAATACAAAATACATGATTTTGCACTCTACATATTTGTAATTGTACTCCTTCCAAACTGAGCCAAAAGAACAAAAAAACTTCAATGAACAAATACTAATGAAACATGGGATTAATATATGTAGTGAAAGTTGAGTGAAGATCTAAAATCGAAAAATTCTATGAGGTTTTAAGGGATAGGAAGAAGGTTTGGTTGGGCCCAACCCAACCCGAAATTGACTTTGGGTTGGGTTGGGTTGGGTTGAAGGAATTTAGTCAGGATTAGGGTTGATAGGGTTGAAGGTCAGGTCGGGTTAGGGTTAGGGTTGGGGTTTAGAACTTAGGGTTGGACTAGGGTTAGCCTCAACCAAACCTAGCCCAGCCTGACTTGCAGCCCTACAGTAGATGTACTCGTATTCCCCTCTATCTCCAAGCAATGAGTCACTAATACGTGAATATCCTCATAACCAATCTCTCTCTCTCTCTCTCTCTCTCTCTCTCTCTCTCTCTCTATCTATATATATATATATATATGTTCGGATTCCGAAGTCAGAACTCTTAGATTTCTATACCCAACGATGGGAAGATTCCTTAGCCACGTTCCATATTGCCCAGTTCTCAAGATTGCGATAGGCATCGAGGAACACCAAAGAGGCAAGACGCCCATCCAGACATCAACTTGAAGTTCTACAACCGAAGAATGAATTGGACTACTTCATTCCTCAACTTCAGAACTGGGGGAGTGGTGTTCAGGTCATGGCTGAGCTGGCCCTGCAAGACACATGGCCGCTCAGTTAGTTATTGCCCAGCCACGTCGGCCTAGCTCGGCCACGTCGGCATAGCTCGGCTGAGCTACACTATTATGGTGGCCCCCCATCTTCTCTTTTTAGCCACGTCAACTACACATCACGTGGATGAGCACAACTATGGATAAAGAGGAATAAGGAAGACGACTCCGCTGAGGAATGAGACTATCCCGAATACCTCAATGGCTAACCTCATCCCGACAAATCCAGAAGCCCAATCTGACCAGGACATTGATCTTTGGCTATAAAAAGGTACTCCTTGCTCGAGGTAAGGGATCCCCAACTTCTAACACCAATACTACTAATTAGCATAGACCAGCATCGCAATAGCTCGCCCCGGCCATCCATCACTTCTTACTGACTTGAGTGTCGGAGTACCTACCCAGGCCTTGAAGTGCATCCTTGGGCCTCTGACTCCTCCTTTCTTGATCATAGGTCTTGAAGCGCAGCCTCGTCCTTGTAGCTCGGTCCCACCCCTGTTAGCAAGGACTATCTGGTTGCTCTCCTTAGTTCATGCACAACCTCGGATTGAGCAACATCGGATTGAGCAACATCAGATTGCCCAAGAACTAGTCAAAACGATCAACAGGCCGATCCCCATCTCGGGAATCTTGGCATCGCAGCCCTCTGCATCAAGAAATTCCATAGCCTTCGGCCGTGGTTGATCCTGTAAAGTTTCGAGCAATGCCAGAGATTCGATAAGATCTTCGAGATGATGCAGACACTAGGAGGTGTGGCACCGCCCAGCCAGGTCGTCCCCCCTCCACGCCCCAATGCGTACGAAGGATGATCCTCATTCCGAGGACCCCAAAAAGCGTTGGCTGGAAAGGAGGGGAGCATGGTCCAAGCGTGAGAAGCAAGACACAGTAAGGTGGTTTGCCTCCACGACCCACTCCTGCGAGCCCGACAACCACACACAGTTGCACTACACAGCCGCGCTACATAGTCGCCCTACACCGCCATGCTACACAGTCGTGCTGCACAGTTGCACTACACAATCGCGCTACACAGCCGCACTATGCCACCATGCTACACAGTCGCGCTACACCGCCGCGCTACATAGCCGACTAACCAACACATGCATGACACATTGCATTGAATTGGCTAACCTACCAGCAGGCATGGCATGAAGCTTAGTAGTGTATCACCGATTAAGAAAACCGACTCAGCTGACCTATAATGGTTCAAGCCCTTAACGCATAGCTAGTAGCTAGCTCGACAGCATATAGTCGAACATCTGACTCGGTTGATCAACAGCCAGAGCCCAAATTGGAGAAGATCGCTCCCACCTCCGAGGCCAGAGGGCGGTCATCGTACTCCGTACTTCAGCGACAAAACGTTGCAGAGCTAGCTGAAGAACGGCTGACCCACGAAGGGCCCCAAAGGCTCTCGAGACCAGAAACTGAGCATCCCAAAGATGAGACCTCGGAATACTCCGGCCCCACTAGCCAGAGATTGAAGATCTTGGTCAACCCTAGACCTCAGCCAAGGTAAGGCCAAGGAACTAACTCGTATGTATGCACACAAGTTCAGAACAAAACAATTTCATTAAGTTAAGCCATCAGTACAGCAGATTAAAGCTCAGTATACCGAGCTATCAAAGAAGAAAAAGACAAAAGAAGACAAAATTCTAAGAGCAACCCGTAGTTGTTCAATCCTTGGCAGGGCAATCGATAGCAATGCCAACCAAGGGAAGCCGCACTACACTTCGGCCAAGCACTCCACCCTTCGACTTCGGAACTAGGGGAGTGGTGTTTGGATTCTGAAACTTAAGTTACAAATTCCTTAGTCAAAGAATAGAGGGTCCATCCTCGGTGCAGAATCAAGGGAGTTCAGCCCAACGGCTCAACA